CACAGCTGTTACGAGGGTAACCTCAAGGCTTCCTATCATCAATATCTCAATGACAACCAACAAGTTTAGGCGGAAAAGAGGATTTCGAATGAAGATTGAGGCGTTCAAAACTTGTAAGTTCACGTATTGTTTGCTGTATTAATCTCGATAACCAGTGGCGTAGATCTGTGTTAAATATTGTGGGGTGGAGAATGGGAGATGCGGAAAGGTGGGGGAATGACTTCCTGGTCATGGAAATTTGGAAAGCGGAGGGGGGCAGGCTATACACACTACCCATGCAGGGGTTCAATTTGCGTGATTAATGTGATCAAATCCACGTAGAATCTTATATGAGAATGGTATATTTACGGCATTTTTAAATTGCTTTCCATTTTTAGTGATTTTAGTCGTTGGGAAATCCTCAGAATTCTTCAGAATCAGCTTTCATTTTTTGCTCACGACAGAAAATGTGTGGGGCTTTGATTAATTAGCCCATACCCAACCTTAAAAAGTGGGGAGGGGGATATACCCCATCCTCAGGCTTTACGTCCATGCTCATAACTGGGAGGCACGAAGACAAAACTTCGATAAAACCTGTAAAATGTTTGTTGTCCGTCACTCAAAGGTAAATGTTATGGAAAATGAAATCCTCAGAATTCCTTCAGCTCTGTAGTTTTCTCCGTCTGAAAACATCGATTTCAACATTCTTAGACGCGACTTGCCAGAAAGTTTGGGCAATTTACGCGTGTGATAGGAATTATCAGAGTAGAAGACTCAATGCAAGTTCTAATGACAAAACAATGTGCGTTTCTGCCAGCTTTCAAGAATTTCTTTCAAGAACTCACGATTACATTCGTCTATGTTTATCTTTGAAAGGTTGCAAAGCATTGATCTGCCCCAGAAAGTTTTTTTCTTCATTTTCACCCGTCTTTATCAAACGGCTGTTGTTTTCTGCAGGGCCGAGTAAGTGTCCAGGTGTGCCTGACTTCCAGTGTGAGAATTCAACGTTCTGTATTTCATCCCGTGCTGTTTGCAATGGTTTGAAGAACTGTCCCTACGGATTTGATGAACAGCAATGCTGTGAGTCTATGTTGCGAAAGCGACCACGAAATGATATAAGCAGGCTATTGAGTTGGTCTGTATTACGGAGAAACCCCTGTAGGTGGCGTTAGACACCCAAACCAATTCCTTTCAAAATGTTGTACTTAGATATTGTAGCATGCCGCCGACCCTCACACTCGCCAGTGGTGTGCCGTCAGACAGACGCTCAGGATTAGGCCCTCCCGACGAGCGGTTATCAGGAAAACCCGGGACGTACCTCCGTTTGGGAGAAATATACCCCCAGGCACCGCATGAAGTTTGCAGTCACCCACACTTTCTCACCCACTCTGGCTAATTAGTAGAGGCGCTAATAATCCACACCACCAGGGTTTTCTATGTGTGCACTCTGATTTATTCACTCCTACTCGGTGCATCCTATCTA